CAGTTCTAACTAAGATCTTCAAATTGTCGCATTGCAATGAATCGTTTTGTTAATTAAACGTTCCGGATACATATTGCCCGAAAAGATTCATCTTGCTGGCGGAAACTCGCTGTCTATACTGTTCTCATTTCAAATCTTCCTTTGCCCTATTAGCTAGACAACAAACTCATTTACTTGTTCCACCTGGACAGGTGACTGTCCAAACAAATTCATGAACGTCATACCGCGTGGCTCAACCCCTAAACAAAAAAGGCATTATCCAGGTATGCTGACTACAGCAGTAGTAAGCAGTAGTAATTCGTCTGTACCATTTTCCTCGGTGTGTTCGAAAAACCAAGTTGTGAAGGCACTTAAACTTTCCAGCCCGTCTGTGGTGGTCCCGGCCTGCTAGATGACGCATACCTTGGAGCGACGCGTTACAGTTTTAGGACAACTGTGATCAATCATGCCTCACGGGTGACGTCAACAAAGCGCGTGCGTGTCACAGCTTCTGGTCGATTGTACTAACCAATCAGAAACCGTGCGACCCAGACGGAAGCTGAACAACGCCAGAAATACCAGCACGTGATTGACAGAGGCTTGGATGACCAATGAACTTGTTTTGTGCATATTATTTAATCCCCCTAGTTTCTTTCAATAAACGAACTACTACTCATGTGACCTTTTCTGCGCGTCTTATTTCCGTGGGATATTGGGTGCCAGTGTGCAGAGTTTGCTGAGAGTGGCTACATCTCTGACTCGGAAACGCTGATATACCGTCTGTGGTGACTTTTTAATGACTCTGACAATCAAACGATGGCCTGGCCGTATGAGATTCAATGGCATTTGTAGTGCATTCAAAAATATTGGTTTCTATTTCATTCATCATCTAAAGAAAAGGTTTCAAGGTGTGTCGACGCATACCGATCACCGGTTTCGGGCATGAAATTCCGTAAGAAAAATGAACTACTCATTGGGATATGTGCATGTTTTTCATTGAACTCACTTCGCCAAACTGAACAGATCGTCAATGATTTGTGTTCTCGAGTGTACAGGAATAACCTAAAAATTAAATCGTGATAGGAAACAGTTTATTGGCAGTTCTCTTCACAAACAACAAACCAATTAACGCACATGTGCTATCACGCCTTGGCAGACTGAAATTCCTCGGTAACTTAGTTTCGATAGCTATACGCCCGATATGGGCAGAACACGGGTACGGGTAGCAGAACGAAGTCCAATATGGTAGCAATGTTTATCGACAGTGGTAATAATCGTGTGGTTCTAAAATCACACAGTAATAACAAAGCATAAAACGTAACTTACAGCCAGGTGAACAACCAAATTACAGGGCAGCAGTAACAGTTTGTGACAGCAATGTTAAGAACGAGGTCTACTCGGCCGACAGCTAAGTGTAACAGTAGCGCAGCAGTGAAATTCAAATTGGGGTTGGGTTGCGGTACGGTATGGGAAAAGGCTTACAATACAGTTTATTTCCGGAATAAAACGACAGAGAAGGAAATTACAATGGATTGGGATGATATATAGTAAATGTTAGTAAGTCGAAATGCGATACAAAGAGGCGGTGTTAATCAAAGGTATGCGTATCAGAGGGTAGCATTGACAAAAGCAGTAAACAATCCCTCGGCAAGTACGTGTGGTGTAGGGGTGACGTGTGTGTTAACCAGAGGCTGGTCTGCGGTTCGAGCCCTGCTATAGGCAGGCATTCGCTCGCAGAACAAGCTCTCAGTAGTACTTCTGTACCTGTGTCTCCCTTCGTTGCTGTTGGGACCACAATGAACTGACTGACGATCACTGAAGACGACACCCCGAACAAACATGAATTGACAGTTCGGTTCAGCCCTGATATGACCTTCCGGAATTTAATGCTTGAATGAGATATTGGATATGCACTATTGATGAGCTATGATAAGGATTGTACGTGAAGGTGAAGTCCGAATGATAACCAGTTCGAATTAGTTTCAACATTCGTTGACCTCAGAATATGTTCCGTTACTTTTTGGTCTGACTGGCCCATAGCAACATGATTAAAGTTTGTGCATAGGGGCTAATGGAAAGCGGATATTGGCAAAAGCTTGATGGTAAAAGATTTAGAAAATATTAATGTCATAACTGGTCACAAAGAACGTGTAGTTTTTTTATTAACCTTGATAACTATTTATTTCCATGGTGATTTTCCCAAATAGGTTTGAAGCCGAAACAGGTACTTGGTAGATGAATATTAACAATCAACATTAAGGTTTTGACTGTTTCCGACCGAATCACAACACCTGGTGACTGAGATTGATATGACATGGTTCATCACAACAAGCTTGAAAGGCATGGGATGTGCTGTTATGAATATAGCCGATCAGTTGTCTGATGAACTTACGTATTTCTCTTGATTCGACTCGATGCTAGATCAACAACGAACGCGGTTATGATAGTAGTGCGATACAGGAAACCATCTTTAGAATTCATATTTCTTTGAATGAATGCCTTCGTCATACAGAGTCACCGTCTAAAAGCTTTGAACACATTTTAAAATCATTTTATCCTTGATGGGAATCGAATTCGAACCCGGTCTATAAGGCTTATTAATCGATACCACAACATATATCCTTCGGTTTTCCGAGCTAGCTCTTGTTACATTTACGACTGTATGGCGAAATTGAAACGCCTCTCATTTCAGCTAAGCAAACTCAGGCAATTCCGACTTCCACAGTCAATCCTGTCATCTTTCGTTCACCAATGCATTTTACCCATTCTATTCCATTGCTCCCTTAAGGTGTTTCCCAGCCTTTTAAAATAAAACTTCAAAACCATTCGTCGTGGTCGGATGCTAATCAGTCGTGTCAGTCGTCATTGATCACAATCGATTCATTATTCAATTCTTGTATCGAATTTGCCAATAGGATTCCAGATGACCATCCTTATCTACTGCATCCCGATTTATCATCTTGTCTCTCCCATCTGTCCACACGGTCCTCTTTTTGGCATCGACCCTCTCGTATCAACATTTCTGGTCCAACTCCTAACTAAAAAGGAACTCGGAATACGAATCACTGATTAGTAATCACAGGCGTCACGTAAACACGGGATCTCACTGGTACTTGCACGCAATATCCCACGTAATCGAGAGGCGACTAAAAGTCCAAAAGAGTAGTAGTTTGCTTATTGGAAGAAATAAAGGTGATTAAGCAATATGTACAAAACAAGTTCATTGATCATTCGGGATTCTGCCAATCGCGTTTCAGTATTTCTGGTGTTGTTTAGCTTCTGTCTGAGCCGCTCGGTTTCCGATTGGCTGGTACAATCGACCTATAGTATGTAGTTCAGAAGCAGTGACATGTATGCGCTTTGCTTGATTAATCACTGTTGTCCTAAAACTGTAACGCGTCGCTCCAGGGTATGCGTCATCTTGCAGACAGGGATCACCACATCATTTTTTTATTCGGTATGTACAAAGTTCAAATACAAATACAAGTTACAAGCCAACACTGTATGGCATAGTCCTCATTTGTGACCACACTTTGAAAGTGCCGAATTTTACGCGATAGTGATCAATTTTCCGATGCACACTAATACAACCACTGAGTGATGAATACTGGAAGCGATAAGTTTTCTGTGATCCCGAGAAACTATGACTTTTCAATTTTAAGTGAATCCGCTGTAATTTAAAGTGAATCGGGTTCCAATCGATGACGTTTGACGGCCGAAACAATGGAATGCGATTGGTTTGATTCACGTGAAGGCAAAACAGATACACTCAACGTAACGGTAGATTCACTTGAAGGTATAATATTCAGCTCCGTGGGATAGTAACCGGTAGGATTAGTTCTGAGACATAGTCGGATGTGGCGAATACGGTCGGGGTGGTATCAGGCCCGTGGGACAGCGAAAACATCTATCACCAAATTTAGTAGTGGCACCGTTCGAACCTCGAATTCCAGTGGCTCAAAGCACTCAAACCACCTACTGACTGGCATCATCGCTTAGTCTCGATCAAAATCGCAATTGGGGTCCGGTAAAATTTTGTTTTTACGAAGACGCATTTAACAGATTAAATTTTGGAAACTGATGTAATTGATTATTATCATGGTGCGTGACATTGTTGATCGTGCGACTTTGAAACTTCGACCAAACAGTTTTTGAATTTCTGGAATGTGAACCCTACTATCTGATTTTAGTGGTTAAACTGATTCGAACGGTGAAGATTTTGTGACGATCGTGCAACGAGTATGCACGCACCGCAGTACAGCTTTCAGCTAGGTAATCAGGAAACGGATTTCCCGACCAATCCTGTGGTCTCGGATTGGCCGAATGAAAGAAGGCAACCAAATGAGCCATATCATTTGTCAATTGAACGTTGACGGGTAGTCGACCAATGATTGTTTGATGCATATGATATTTATTTGCATAATTTTCTAAATGGAATTAGCTGTGTCTGCAGCTCATCAATGGTTCCAGTTGATTTTGCGTTCGTTATTCAGTAAGCTTTCAGCCCGGAATCAGAGTTCGCGCGCGCGCTATCCGATTCTGTTTTGTTTATTTGATTTCCACATTTCCAGAACATTCCTTCATGTCCTTAACCGCAATTTTATCTCTTCATTCAGCACTGAATGCCACGAAAGCCTGTAGACAGATTCCTGATTTATCATCACAGTAATTCAACAAAGTCGATTGATTCGGACAAAATTTCCGTGGATTAGTAGCCTGGGAAGCATTTTTCGAAATACAAACACACTGGAGTGACTTGACAGAAATGCACTTGATCAGTACAAGAAACCACGAAATCGGTTGTGTATTTGCAAAGAAATTTTTGTGAAAAATTCATTTATAGAACAGTGCTTACTTACTCTTCAAGTACTGCTTGTCAAATAGCACCATCTGGTTTCGGCAACCTGAACCATATCCAACACCACACAATCGTATCCGTGTGTTTTGTCTTGAACGCATTAGTTCACGCACACTGAACAGCATAATTTGTCCGAGATCCAATTATCTTTTTCCTTCACAGAACAATTTGCGCGAAATGGTTAAAGTTTATTCGTGATCAGCTGGCTCTTCGTCCATTCCGTTCGCCAAGACCACGTACCTTTAAATCTGCAGGATCGGTGGCGGTAAGTTTGCGAATGTGACAGACCGGTTTATTTTCGCAAACCGATTTGAATTTGAGTTTGTTTATAAATGTTGTCCAATTTATCATATACTACTTATTATCAAATACTCTACCAAGACTATCAGGTCACGTTTGTTGCGGTTAGTAGCATCTAACCCACTTACAAAACATCGAATCATAGCATTGATTCTTCAATGGACTGGTTCTGAAACAACTGTCTATCCGGTGTTACTGTTACTGTTACCCGGTGTTACAAACAAGATATATGAATGAACAGACAAAGATTACCGGATACGCATGCCTGACGAGCGACAAGAACCGCGAAACCGGTCGTATGCTTCCAGGGAAATTTTGTCCAGTCACCCACATGCTATTTATTATCAAATAACCTTCACATATACGGTGCCCAAACAAACATGGGTTCCACGCGAAATATAGATATAGAAAACGAAAAAATAAACCAGTAAAATTAGGGAATTTCCAAACGGAAATAGAGGACTGGGTTGTAGATGTTGCAATGAGACCCGATGACCTGTGTTCAAATGGCATAAAACATTAATAATAATAATAATAATAATAATAGTAATAATAATAATAATAATGTGACAATTGCCATGATCACTCCATCCGACAGTGTCGATCGAAATCTGCTCCACGCAGTCGATTCCCAAGTTATGTCAGTTGGTTCGTTGGAAAACTCAGACGCCGATGTCGTACTCTGTCACCGACAACATCACAACCCGGTACCGTGCAAATGACAACCGAGGCCTCAGTTTCAGCTGGACAATCTAGTCGTGATCATCATCTCCGTCGTGGTAATCTATCTCCCCAGTCAAGCTCACGTCCGATGGGAATTCTTAGAAAGTCTGGAACAAAGAGAGGAAGAAAATCGATTGACAAATCACGCAAACCAACTTTTGTGGATGGAGAACAAATCCCGGAAGATGAGAAGTCAGAAACCCCTGTGAATGAGGATAATCTTGGGGAATCCCAGCACTCGGTTAGACTGACTGATCGTTTAAGGTAAGAGAAAAATTCCTCGTTGGCGGGGGGGGACCACGGCTATGTCCCTCTACCTCCCCCACCCACCCACCTCTCATAGACCAGCAGTCTAAAGTGTTGCACCCGAGTACCCTGTCATTCAGATTATTTCGACTTATCTCTGTCATTTTCTTGCCATCTTTTGAGAATCTTAACAATGTGTTTTTTTTTCAATCAAAAAAGACCGGACAAAAATTTCAGTTAATCATCAACTAATTAAGACCGGACGACTGTAATTGTCTCCTGCCACATACTTTCCAATCAATTCTGCCCGGTTTCGCAAACATGATATGCCAATTTCCTCTTTTTCTTCACCCAGCTCCTCAAACACTGAATTCGAAGAACCTACTGAAACGCCGTCCCTATCAGGGGATCAGCAATTGGCTCCTTCTCTCACCTCGACTCGATCACAACATATTTCTTTTGATCCGACAGAGATATTCCGAATACCACTCACCTCGCAACCAAATCCAAAAAGATCGATAGGAATGCCCTTAGTCAATTGTCCGA